ATGTCCAAACATTGTTGAACTCCCCCCCCCCCTCTTCCCTTATTCTACAGTTCCGGAGATTGTACAAATAACGTATTTCGGAAATGATAAATGAAATGTCCAAACATTGTTGAACTCCCCCCCCCCCTCTTCCCTTATTCTACAGTTCCGGAGATTGTACAAATAACGTATTTCGGAAATGATAAATGAAATGTCCAAACATTGTTGAACTCCCCCCCCCCCTCTTCCCTTATTCTACAGTTCCGGAGATTGTACAAATAACGTATTTCGGAAATGATAAATGAAATGTCCAAACATCATGTCAACTCTCAAGGAAGTAGAGTCAACTCTCAAGGAAGTAGACTCTTTCTAAGTTGTAATGTGAAGTACATGTAATTGTTTTGTTGAATTTCGCGCAAAGCTACACGAGGGCTATCTGTTCCTAACTTAGCAGTGAAAGGCTATAGGGAAAGCAGCTAGTCAACACCACCCACTGACAACTCTTGGGCTACTCTTTCTACTAACGAATAGTTGGATTGACCGTCACATTATAACACCCCCAAGACTGAAAGAGCGAACATTTTCGATGACGAGATTCGAACTCGTGACCCGCATATTGCGAGTTGAGTACCTTAACTACCAGGTCATGCCGGGCTTGTAATGTCATGGAAACAGACTTACTACGTCCTAAAAAGGCCTAGCGCGGTCTGGTAGTTAGGGTGCTCGACTCACAATCTGAGGGTCGTGACTGTCACTGAACATGCTCGCTCTTTCAACTCTGGGGGCATTATAATATGATGGTTAATCCCACTTTTCTTAGGTAAAAGAGTAGCCCAAGAGTTGGCGGTGGGTGGTGATGACTAGCTGCCTTCCCTCTAGTCTTTCACTGCTAAATTAGAGACGGCTAGCGCAGATAGCCCTCGGGTAACTTTGCGTGAAATTCAAAAACAAACAAATTTGCTAAATCGAATAATAAAATGTCGCGGAAATTACTTTAACACAAAGTTACACAATAGCTCCGCCCCGTCCACCACGAGAAATCGAACCCAGGATTTTACGCTGCAAGTCCTCAAACTTACCACTGATCCAATCGAGAACTATTTTAATTATCAAATAAAAGGACGAGTTTGATCCCCCTAACATGAATTAGACATGACATTATTAGATATATGGCTTAGGGTATTTGATAAAGAAGTACTTTGTATACAGCCCCCCGAGTGGTACAGCGGTATGTCTACGGACTTACAACGCTAGAAACCAGGTTTCGATACCCGTGGTGGGCAGAGCATAGATAGCCCATCGTGTTGCTTTGTGCTTAACTACAAACAAAAGCTTTGTATACAAACTTATAAGAAATAAAACAAACAGTAATAACACAAGTAGTTAACGAGCCCTTTTATCGTTTAAAAGAGCTGCCTCATTGAGGATGAGGGAGATCAAAGTGTACTTGAAAAAACATTACTTTTTTAGGATTACGTATTTGAAGATAACCTAGTGTATGTATGTATGTATGTATGTATGCTCATACATGTAAAACGTACTACATTACAGTTAATATGCGGAGTTTGAATGTTTTATGTGAATATTGAAAACATGCCCCTTCACAGAACGTAATATATGTCTAAACCGTGAAGTACATTATAGGCAATCTGTAATATATATATAAACTATTAATTTTGGATATTCAATAACTGTATTTATTATTGATATTGAAAAGAAGATGAAAAAATTAATACTGTGTTGAGAGCTATAAAGATTAGATATAACATGACGTTCATGATCAGACCCTCTGGTGGTTTACGAGTGAACCACATAAAAAAAAAACATCTTCCCGTGTTCCATAGATGATTTTATCACCCACTCCCTGGTAGCACACTTTAGAACTATCGCCCCATAGTAACACAACTTGGAACTAACCGCCCCTATTAACACACCTTGGAACTAACCATCCCTAGTAACGCAGCTTGGAATTATCTGCCAACAGTGGCACACTTTCAAACTATCCGCCCTCTGGCACCACTCTGTGGAACTATGACATCACGTGACCATCCGGTCTTTGAAATGCCCCTAGTGGGCGGCACCCTTTGATCTCCTCTGAACGGTAAACTGTGTATCTACTAATACATCGGCATAATAATGCGTAAATGATAAAAGAATTAACAAAACACCGGACAAAACAACCTTGTCATCTCCAAGGGAGGGTGTATAACTGTTCTCAACGTATTTAATTATATATTCTCAATACCAAGTTGATTTTCTAATTTAGCTATAGATGGGTAGCTTGCTCTGATTGGAAGTTAATAGTAATTTACTAATGATCGCATAATACAAAAACTAATTATAAAAAAAATCCAAATAAAGTTGACTCCAAATCCCATTTCATTATTTTCTATATATTTGTATCGATCTTCTTGTTAATGGAAGATTTTTGACCGATCGAAATTCAGTACAAAAAGATGCATAACACTGATTAATTACATCAACACTCGCGCCATCTACCGGGGTACAAGATATATATATACATTATTTATTTATAATCACACCACTTTCGCCTTCTCTGTAGATAATGATGATGTATTGTCCTGTCATTTGAAAATCCATTAGGATTTTTTTTTCATGACACATAAACAATACGTTCCTTGTGCCCCCCCCCCCCAAAAAAAAATTTTTTTAGACCAATTCATAAAATTTCATGGAATAATTTCACACAATACGTTTTTATAATCTTTACAACTTTATCTTTTCAACAAAATTGGTTAGTTTATGCGTTATTTTGTCCTTTTACAGGCGTTTTTGCACAAGTTAGCTTGGTAACTAAATGAAAACAAAGCGTGTCATGAATGTGAAATATTATAGCGCCATCTCTCGGTTGTAACGTAAGTTAATAGAGAAGATTTTGAAAATTTAATTAAAATACCTCCATGGCTTTAGCTAACGTCGTTCCTCGTAGCTGAAAACGGTCATCAGTTTCCAGGATACGTAGTTTGACAAAACCAATCATTGCTGCTTTTTCCATAGAAGAGTGAGCCTATGAAAATCAACATTTAAATATATAAATACATTAACTTACTGGTTTATTTTTTCGTATATTTTTATATAATTTCGCAAATAATTCATGAAAAAAAAAAACGCTATTTATCGACATCTTTAAAGTATTTTGACATTTCTTTATTTAATGGCTAATCCTAACAGTCAATCTTTTCACAAATATCCAACTAAAATGTAGCTCACGTAAAATTCGAAGTACATTTTTTCAATGCCTATAAAATATTGTGGCCCCCTCTAGTGTTATGTTTTGTGAAAAACATTGTGGTCCGCCCCAATGCTATTTTTTTGTTTGTATGAAACAAATTTATCACTATTAATCTCAACATTAAAGAAGTGTCGACGTAACTTACTTTAACGTTTAAGAGAGATTTTATATTCCAACTACGTCACTAGCACAAGACAACTAACAAAATTATGTATATACAAATTTTTTACTCGAAGACTTTAATCTTGTTTATTGTAAGAGGTTTAAACCCACGTGCCGTTAGTCACCTGAAGTGTTTAATAAAAGTAAGGTTAAAGGATAAGGAATGTTGACTTGATTTAAGGCTATAACTAAAACAATATCTACTTGTGAACTAAAATAACATTTGTTTCATATAAGTTTAGCTTCATTCTGGACTTATTACTGTGTGTGTGTTTGTCAGCAACATTTCTCGTAAACGACTGAATGTATTTGGACGAAAGTTGGTGTACATTAGGACTATGACCCAACTTAGAAGTGATTGGTTTTTGGAGGGTCAAGGTCACAGCAACGTCACTAAAATCCGAAAAATATCCCTATCTGTTAACAGAGGGGTCAGTTTTTCACACTATCTTTGCTCTATAACTCAATCAAAACTGATCGAATTTTTATGAAATTTGGTGAACATATGTAAAATATTGTTACTCATTGTCCTGCCAAAAATGGTCTGTGTCTGTTGATAACGACGGACATACGGACACATTTTCGTTTTTCTTTTTAGAGCTGAATATGTTCAACGCTAGGTGGCGGAGATATGCTCTCTACTGAGTGCCCCGCTAGTTAATAATTTTTATTCAGACCTTCAGATTTTCCTGTTTAACGATAAGTTTTATTCCCACTTAAATACAACGTAAAATATAAAAACTTAGGCATAAAATATATAGCAGTATTAATAAAATGACCTCTTTAGAACAATACGCCATTAGTTTCGATAATAGTACTCCTTCTTCTACAAAGGGATGTTGTTGTTTTAGAGCCCGGATGGTGGCGTGGCGAGCAGCAAGAAGGGAAACCAAAACACATTCACTTGCCGAACCCTGTGAAAAAAACAAAATCCACATTTTTTTTGTGTCTAAATCTAGTAGAAAGTTTAATTAATCATAAGCAACGTTTTTACAAATTAGTTAACACAATATCAACTTTGTAAAATAACTAAATTAATATTTTGGATTGAAACTCGATGTAAGAGGCTTAGTGTCAGTGGTAATGTGAAATAAAGTTATTTTCGACTTTGAAATAATGTAATCAAACGTTTTGTTTTGCAATTTAATTGTTAGCACACTGTTAAAGATAAGTGTAAAAATAAATCTCACTAAACATCATAGAGTATTTAATCTTGAAATTATTTCAAACTTTAAAAATATTTCTATCGTGCAAAAATATTTTATATCAGCGTAGTTGATTTGTTTAGAAAATCGGAGAAATAAAGAAGTCTGGATCACTTGATTTGTTTGTTTGTTTGTTTTTGAATTTCGCGCAAAGCTACACGAGGGCTATCTGCGCTAGCCGTCCCTAATTTAGCAGTGTAAGACTAGATGGAAAGCAGCTAGTCATCACCACCCACCGCCAACTCTTGGGCTACTCTTTTACCAACGAATAGTGGGATTGACCGTCACATTATAACGCCCCCACGGCTGAAAGGGCGAGCATGTTTGGTGGGACGGGGATTCGAACCCGCGACCCGCAGGTTGCGAGTCGAGCGTACCCTAACCACCTGGCCATGCCTGGCCTCCACTTGATTTGAAAGATTGTAATCCACACAAAGATAATACATCACCTGAATAACTCCACCACCTGTGCCATGGTCTGATAAACACAGAAAGTCGTGTGGTAGCCCAATCATTTTTCCTGTTCATATAGAATTTAAATTAAATTAAAATGAGTTCAATCTACATAATATAAAGAAATAAATTAATAAAACGGTCACAAGGTTAGATAGGTATATTAAATAGTAATTAATCAAATTATCACATATAACTTTATGACGTCAGTCTTCAGATCAGTTTAGTAATGTTTGGAGGTACACCCTGGGCTATCTGTGCTGTGCCCACAACGGGTATCGAAATCCGGGTTTTAGCAGTAAAAGTCTTCATACTTACCGCTGTGCCACTGGGGGAGGGGGCAATATTTTGAGGGAGTATGTATTTTTAATCTATAAAATACCTAAGTGGAAAAATCTTTAAATGTTTTCTAATTCTAGTATGGTTTGTCGAAATTTGGCACTGGCCGTCCCTACATTTGAGCTGTTAAACTAAAGGGAAGGGACCTATTCAACAATACCCAACACCAAAGCTTGAACTACTCTAATCGAAAAGTGGGATATGACTGTCACCCTTGTAAACACCCGAGGCTGAAATTACGAAGAGGGATTGTACGACACAGTCGGATTCAGAGTCCCGTATGCTAATTGCTAAGTCATCCCTGACTGTTTAATATAAGATAATATTAGTATTCAATAGGATGTTCACGGAGATTCTTCAACCTTACAGAGGCTACAAAGACTTCCCTGTAAACTTCCATCGAAAAATTAATTGTTATATAAATGTCCTTTGGTGGGTGAGCGGTACGTTTACAGACTTACAACGCTAAAATCCGTGGTCTGATTCCACACGATGGACATAGCGTAGAAATTTCATTGTGTAGCTTTGCGCTAAAACAAACAAACTCTCAATAATATACATAAATAGTACTGTTTCCTATAAAATAGTCTTGCAATTATAGTGGTTTGTTCTGATTCATTTGTGATGCTTATGTTTGTAAGACGTGTGACGTCACCCATATTCAAAAGCTAATTTCCATTGTTGTGAGTCCATTTTTAAATAAAGAAAATGTCAGCAGCACTAATTATTTGAGTACGTACGTTGGTACTAAGTTAGCGAAAAAAATACGTTAGGGTAAAAACCTGAGTACCAACTTAAAATCACTAGCATCAATAAAAGTTTTAAAATCGCATATCTTATTAATTTATTATCTTTCTAACTAAACAATAGTATTAATAACTTTGAATTTTTTACCTTCACTATATGTTATTTAAATAACAAGTCTTTCAAAAATGTGTATGTTTTAAACATATAATTGTAAAATGTACTTTTATTAAGTGCTTTAATACTATATTCGTGTGGCGTTTCACAAAAAAAAACATTTCACCATTTTAACGCTCTTACAAATGCTCTTGAACCAGAATAGTCACATTGTGCCTGACGCCAGCTCCTGAGGGAGAGTGACAGAGAGTATTCTGGGCAGTTTGAGAGCTCTACTAGTTGACACAGGGGATTACACACTCTGGCACTCTGAGTGTTTGGTTAACTCTGGCACTCTGAGTGTTTGGTTATGAAAGACATTTAATTTCAGGTGTAAATTGAATATCTTCTTTATAAACATATTTTTGAATTTGGAATTGTCAGGATTCAGCTCCAATAAGCCTTTAAAGTTGTCTGGACTCCACCCGGGAATGCTAATCTTGCAGACAGCATTTGAATCTGGTCTCTATGTATGTGTGCATGCAGAACTTGTCTGAGTCTATGGCCAAAATAAATGTCCAATGTTCTGGGCGTGGTATTGTATATAATTACATCAAAACAATATTATTTTATAAACAACTGACCAGGTTAGCCGTTCTACTTATTACGTACTAACACGTGACTCCGTCAGCTCGTTGATTCTTCGTTCTCCCTCTTCACACTTCCCACCATCCCCCACTGGAATAAACTAGTTTTTGCGCATTATCATCATTGGCTCAGTGATTGGCCGTGTATGTTCTGGGATAAAAAATTTTCTTTAAATATAAAAAAAAACAATGAAAGTTATTTAGAAAATGCAAAATGTAAAAAGATACAAGGGGGTCCAAAATTATTTTTCCTATTTTAAAATTCAATAATTAAATAACCATGCGGTTTTCAATCAATGAACCTTCTCGAAACTTTTAATTTCAACCTTCAATTGGACGAAAAAATTTCCTCTGTTGGAGTATGTCTGTTTCTTTTGTCTCAAAGCCACACGATAGGCGGTATAAACTCTGTCCACCGCGGGAGTCGAAACCCGGATTTTAGTATTGTAAGTTCTTAAACTTACCTCTGTCCCAGTGTAGGACCCGTTAGACTATTGTTAGACCGTTTTATATGCCATAAAAAAAAAACAGAAACAAAGATAAACCAAAGCATGCACTAATCTCCCTTCTGTGACGTAGTAAATAAAGTTTAATAATCGAAAACAGAAAGAAGGAATATCTGGAACATACAATAATGTACCTTTTGTGATAAAGAAATCTGTTAAAGCTTATGCCACAAAAACAATGAATCACATTAAAAGTGTCGCTACAATACGAAAGCTCAATAAAGTACCATTTATTCGTCAAATACTTATTAGAGTAACGTTTCAACAATCGAAAATAGTACCATTGTATGAACAATGAAGTGAACAATCATTGTTGTAAGACGTTTATAGTAATGTTTAATCATTGACAACTAAATATATAAATAATTACATTATCAAGTATACTAAACACTGGAGTTTTTAACAACTAGATTCTTTAACCTTAAAAGTACATTGACAAATACAGATAGATAACTTCCCTATTTTGTATTATACTTTAATAAAACCATTATTACTAAGCATAAACAACTTATGTACCAATGTTCCCATAGAGAGAAATGCCGTGTTCTTAAAATAAAACATTTAAGCACGTTCTACCATTTTTCTTTGTACACATATGATAAAACAACATAATTAGCTTAAGTATCTAAAGGACAGAGTGAAATGTTTATCTCACCTAACCAGTCTAACATTATAATTTCCAATTCTGTACAAGCTGGACTTGCTGCCTGTAATATAAATAAAATGAAAGTTATATCACATCAAATATCAGTTAATATCTATGGTGTTTTGAGTCCGTTTTACTTCACCAAATATGAGCCTAACTTCGTTTAGGTAAGTGAATGATGTTCTGACATTTTGTCAAATTAATTATTTGGTGTTATACAGCAGATCAACTGTTTAATGAATATATATATATATGAAAGATTTCTTTTCTCTTTCACCAGAAGTGAAACTGAAAAGAGATTCTGTGACTTAAGGCATCCTTTGATTGGCGGTGCACTGGAGTTTCGCTGAAATGTCATAAATTAATTTAGGTTATTGTATGGTGAAATAATACGGACTCAAAACACCACAGATATTATATACACTTCACCATTGTAAGAGGCCTAATGATATTTCTTTGGTTTGTTGACCCAAGCTGTGCTGATGAGCCTTGAATAGGTGAAACTGCAGTCCACAGCAGAGGATACGGCCAATCCAAGAATGAATTAGGCCTCTACTTCACAGATTCTATTTTCAATTTCACCTCCGGTGAAAAAAAGAAAAGAAATCTTTCACAAATATATATATTTAGTTAAGGAGATTGTTTAATGTTTAATCTAATACTTTAAAGTAAATTAACCCTATTGTTTAAGTATTGATGCATATCCTAATTTTCAATTAGTAATCAGAGGAAAGACAGCCACTCAGCAGCACACTATCACTCATCATTCATGTTAAGGAATTAGCTGCCACTCTTATAATGCACCCACATCTTAATTTGGAGGACCATTTTATGGTAACATACGTATTTCAGACCGGTTCCAACTCCAAAGTCCAGAACTCTACCTCTAGCCAGTGCCTAATATATTAAAGAAACAGTTTTTGATGATCAATGGGGTTTCAATTGACAGATATTTTCCTATGAATGCTTAGGTTCAGTTGGGCTCGAGGCAGAATAATTTAAGGATACTTAAGTACATACAACATTGAGTTTATCAAATTTGGAAACTAATTTTTGTTTGTGACAGTTTGTACCTTTGGAAGATTAAATTGTTCAAAAGTGACGTATTAAGAATGGTTAGTGGATTAACCCTTTGTTAAGTTAGTAAAAAGGCCCATCTATCAATACTACACTGAGCTAAGGATTCATTTATTGCAGAAAAATGATTTCAAGTATAAAAAAGGAAAAACGATACTCTCGATGACAAATATTTTTAATTTGAGATAGACGAGAATTGTAACTACTAAGAAACTTTAGTGCATTATGAAAGTGCCTTAAATGAAAATATCATAGCTAAGTATGAAGTAAAGTCTGAATAAGTCTCATCCATAAACCATATCTCTTAACAAGTACTTCTGCTTTAAATTTGAGAGTGTGTTTCTGATGTGTTTTGTAAAGTTAAATTTTCTGTTTATCTTACATTTGTTTTGTTTTGGCTTGGTATACACTGTTTTCAGTGTAATATTAGGCTTATGGTACCCGACACATCTGAAGATTCATTATTCATGACCAGTTACCCCAAAAACAAGCTTCCCACTTTGGAGTTATGGATATGCTATAAAGGGAAACGTCAAAACCTCATTCTTCAATCAGAATGAGTAAACCAAAAGTTGCTGATGAATGCCAATATCTAGCTGCCTTCCTTCTGGTCAATGAGCTCAAAATTCATATAAGTTTTGTTTACAGTTATTAATTTTAAATACATGCATACTCCTCCCAAGATCTTTAATGTTGTTATTTTATTAATTCAGACATCCCTGTTAACTTAAGTTCCATTAGCTACATATTTTACAGAAAAATAGATAGCCCTGAAAAAATATACATACTCAAAAGAGACTTTATTTGTTGTATTCTTATAAAGAAACATTGGTATCCACATTTGATGATTGGTGATTTAAAAATATATACATAATTTCATTTTCCTAGTAGGATAAGAAAATACTTAAGTTTTCTGTTTTATCTTGTTGTGAAAAGAGACATACCAGGTTATATAATGTACGAAATTAGTATTAATATTCTGTTTTAACACATCTATTTGTGTAGGGCAGTAATAAAATGGCAAAATTCTAATCATCGATTTCAATTTAATGACTTGGAAGTTTAACCATTCTTTATTTCCATTTTTATGATAGATTCACTTTATAAACAGAAGATGGTAGAACTTTTGGTTGTATGTAATGAAAAATCAGAATTCATTATACAAATAAAACTAGAAATTAGCTAACAAATCGTAAAAAACACCTAAAATAAAAGTCAATGCATAAAATAGGTTGAATATTTAGTGAAATGTTAGCTCAGTGAATACAATATTAGTTATAAGTTTACCAACCTCTTGATTTTGAAAAAAAAACATTTTATATGGGTTTTATTCTCTTATATGTTCAGTGGATCCAAATGTTGTCTGTGTATCCTTGTTACCAAACATAAATCTAGGATCCGTGTGGTTTCCTCTCTACTAATTGCTGTGACACTAGTATGTGATCTGCATCAATTGTGTACACATGCAGTAAACCGAGATGAACTTGGAAGGTCGTGGGCAATATCAAGTGAAATAAATCAATGAAAATAAATAACACCGAAATAAAATAAAAACCTCTTAGCTACCACCAAGAATCTTAATTCACACCTTTATGATTGTTGTATATTTTCTAAGTTATTACTAATTCTACATCCTTTAATTAACAAAAAAGTTCTGATGTACCCATGAAAATCCTACACAGCCAATGGCATCTGATAGCATGTCTGCTAAGATGGAAGGATAAGAATTTCCTGCAGGGAAGTAGGCATGGAAACGAGGGTGTTGCCAGTGGGTGACCTGTTATAGGGAAACATTAATCTATGTATTATTTTAAACAATAATTATAAAAGATGAAGAAAAATAAGAAAAGTTAATCACATTTCAGTTTTCTAGTTATCATTCTTATATTATCACAATTTGCATACAGTCCCAATATTGTCAAAAAGCTTAGTAACTCGGTTATTTGTCTCAAGTTTTCCTATATTAATAATTCAAGTTTCAAGTTTCTGAAGTTCTTAGAATAATATTTAACGGTTAACTTGAAAGTGATAGGTAATAGTTTTGTAGCCTCCTTGACAGAAGTGTCCATTTTTATCCAATGAGTTTGTTTGTTTGCTGATAAAATGTGCAAATCCGATAGCCCTTGAATTGACACTAGAGGGAGGGTTACTAAACTGCCACAAGGGTATTTAATGGGTAACTATTTGAATATGGATAATCTTTAATTATATTAAGTTCATTATATAGTAACCTACTTTTACTAATCATCTAAACAATTCTTGTATTCTAAAGGTTTCACTATATTACGTTTTACAATACCGGGGGGGGGAGGAAGCTTTCAGCATAGAATATGTCTTCTTTTAAAAATATTGGTTAGAAAATTAAATGGTTATTTTGATACAAATATCTAAAAATAGAAATTTTTTGTTTCATTGAAATTTAACTATAAACTTTGTTTCAAGTGATTCAAATATGGCAGTGTATGCGGGGGTTTTGAAAAGAATAAATTATTTGACATATAAAATAGTAATACATAAATGCTAAGCCTAAACTTTGGACTTCATTAGGGCAGCTCAGATTTCAAAAGTGCAAAAAACAAGAAGTACTTGGTGAAGTGGACTTGTTAGATGTTAAAGAAACTTAAGGGTGTTGTCTATTATAAATAAAAAAACTGTGAAATTAAGGGAACACAATACAAGGCAAACAGTGAAACAGCAACTGAAAAACTTGGTATAGCATGTTTCAGTAAGTACTGACGTTCTGTTGAGTCATTTAGTAAAGAGTATAAATCATTAAGGATGCTGTATGCCATAGAAAACAGGGCTTAACAAACAATAACGTCAGCAATGCTGTACTATATAGCAATACTTTTTGTAAAACAGATTCTGGTGAGGAGAAACAGCCAATGATGTTAAATATCCTTTCCTTAGATTTAATATATACATGATGTATACTGTTTTGTTTATTTATTTGTAGTTAAGCACAAAGCTACACAATGGGCTATCTATGCTGTGCACACCACAGTTTCTAGCGGTATAAGTCCGCGGGCATTCCGCTGTGCCACTAGGAGCCTTCTGTTTTGCAATTAATAGTTGTTATGGTGTGAATGCCTTTTTTTAAATATTAACAATATAATAAGCCTAATACTGTTGTGCATTAGTGGCACAGTGGACTTACAATGTGTAGCATTGTGCTTAATTACAGACAGACAAACAAACTTATTGCAAATAAAATGCTAACTTTTGTGATGAAACGAGAATTTACAGATTTAATGAGCATTATCTTTAAAAATATACATTAAATAAAAAGAGTCATTTTCTTTACATAAAACAGTTTGAAAAAATCTAGTTCTTTGGCCAAAACTTTACTGCAAACAATCCACTGGAAGAGCAATAAGTTCATCCCCTCAACTACAAGATTCATAATTTCACTCCTAAAACTTCAAACCAAGAGCAGTAAATTCCCACAAAAAAACTCCAATACAAGAGTCATACTTTCACCCCAAATAAAGCCATCAGTTTATATTTTGTAATATATAGTGCACCATGATTCTTTATACGGGCAAAGTTAACCAAAATCAATGAGGAAAGATTGTGATAAGAAACCAATGGAAACGTTTTAATTTCACTGTAGTGAATAGTACGTTTTACTTTCAAAATATTTGTAATTCATTCTGTTTAGTTATATTCATTCATTACTTACCCCGGGCATGATAAAGCGCTCCACATCCTTCATAATGTCTTCCCATTCTTCTCCCTTGTGAGGGGCGTTGTAAGGGAGAAGATGGCGAAGATAACCAGGTTCAATGTTGGGTGTCACCCGTCTTTGGGAAAGTGTCTCAGCATATTCAGCAATATAGTCAACCATCTCACGGCCTCGCTTTTTGAACTCCGCCGTATCCATGGTAATTTAAAAAAACCTAAAAATAATACAGCAAAAGGAGAAGAAGACAATGATTCATAGTTTCAGACCAAATCAATACAAAAACTTCCAGCATCAAACGGATAAATATCTGGACACATTCTAGAAATGCATCAATGCACTATAACGAGTGCAAATATAATTTCAGTTTTTCTTTTTATTCAGGAAAATAATAATATCGCAGTTGAGAGTGTTATCCAATTAACTGTTTACATATTAAACCGATGAAATAGTTCTGGGCTTTACAAACCTGGTGATATACCTCCTTAAATCCAATTTTTAAAACCAGTGATGAAGAACTCAGATTTGAGGTTTTTAGGAGATCTGGGAGTCAGGGGGAATGACCCCCCCCCAGAAGAAGTGGTATTTATATACTTTAAATAGGGTAATTCCGAAAATATACGTGATGAAACGCAGACATTATTAACAAGTATTAACCTGCTCCCACCAGTAGTATACCGGGGGGAGTGGGGAGGTGTCTCAGAACCAGCCTTAAAGCCATGGGCACAACAAGCCTATTCAAGTGATTAATCAAAGAAAACTTATTCAACGATCCCAATTCTCCAGTACTTAACGCTTACACTAATCCCCCAAAACGAATTAAACTGCAAGCGATTATTTCAAAAACATCCCACAATCCTTAAAATGAACAATGCCTTTTTCAGCTCTGAGTCCCTGGCTTTAAGGTAAAGTGAGAAAGTCAGCTGCCTATAGTTTCTTTCTACGGAGGACCTGCAGAGATATTTTTATGAGTCATTCTTAAATATCGGGGAGGAATGTCAAACTCGACAAAATGTAAAATACTCTACTTACTTACGGGGGGGGGGATTTTTTGCACAGGGGGAAATCCCCTCCCTGTACACCCCCATCAATTCAACGCTGGTTTCCATTTCGGAAGCAGAAGTAAGTGTGAGTATTGTTGGAACCACACCCGAAGGTCTCTGATCAACAAACTTATATTTTAACTACTTTAACCCTTTCGCTACCAAAAATGTTGTATTCCCAGGGGCCAGGAAAAATTGGGAAATCTGACGTAATATCGACAATTTTATATTTGATTGATTGATTATATATTTTATTAGAAAAAGGAAATCAAAACCTTTGGCCTTCACCTAGCGATTCTCAGAGTAACTACTTTAAATGAAACAACAACAGACCAAAACGGAGTTAAGAAAAGTTTTAGTTCGGCTAAAATAAAATCGTGTTTGTTTG